ATTGTTAAATGTCCTTCTTAATAAGAAAGAAAATCAGGATTAATTTGGGAGAAGATCTCCATGCCCCAAGAGTTAATATATTAATTAGTTGTGTCAGATTCCGCTAAAGAATTTAAAAAAAAAAGAAAGAAAAAATGAAAATAATTCAAAATAAAAAAAACTTACATAATTTTGTTCTGGAGAATGTGAGTCCCTTTGATCTGGTGAAAAAGTCTCTCTTAAAAGCAGGTGTTTAGTTTTCTTGTCACACATTTTCGAGTTTCTTAGATTATTCTGAATTGTTCTTTCGTGAAATAATGTTGTCAAGTAGAATTTCTAAAGAAACTGTACAGCTCTCCTTCTGAGTTGCTTCACAATAAGGAACTCCTGTATGTATATCCGAGATAAACATCGGGTGCACAAACCATCCAACTAATTGGTCACAAATAACTAACAACTTACTCAGCTTGCTACTTAGGTACAGGGTGGGTCTGACCAATCCGTAAAATATGACTGACTGATTACTGATGTCTCCATCAGGGTATTACATATTAATAAATGGGGTACATATCTACCCATCAATCACCTTACATAGGTATCTCATTATGATAGCCATCTCCTGTAAAACATGTACACCCCACCCTTCATCAATCATCCCTTGTCAATCATTATCCTACCCACAGGTAAGGTCTGTCACTACCCACAGGTAAGACCAAGTACCCCAGCGCTATAAATCACTGACCACAGCTGACTGACCACCACAGCTGAGTGACCACAGCTGGTAGATGCTGACAATCACCCCAGGATAAACAAATGATATTGATTTGTTCTTTATAATCATTTCACCATCATTTTTTTTTAACTGTAGACTATTTTTGTAAAAAAATCTTCAAATGTGGAAATTTTGTAAGAATAAAACACGAATTACCAAATATCAAACATATTTTACAAACATACTTCATTTTCACAAATTTCATCCTGTATGTAACTATTTGTTAGTACAATAAATTATGATGTTTACTTCTACATGTATTCTATCAAAAACATCTCCAGCTTCACTATCATGAAGAAATCCTAAATGCACTATTTATATGTATTGTGTTTTTTTTTCAATCGGTTTGATAAATTCCTAATTAGGACTCTGAACTATCACTTTTCACTACTAAATTATATTCTTATACCACTAAAACCATGCCACACCCCTTCCTTCTACCAAATTTATAACAGAAAAACATTATGATTGTGATATTTTGGTATTTGGAAAAGTTACAATTATATACAGTATGAACAAAGCATGACAACAAATCATTTTCTATACACACCATATGTGCACTACGAGGATGAGAATTATTTAAGGCGATCAGGACCGTTTAATACCCTAGGAATTATAAATCAATATGGATACCCTATCTATTGAAGTACCCAGCTCCATCCTTCAATCACTATTATAACACATACATTTTGACTTGCCCTAACATTGCACTGACTTGCTTCCTTACGAATACACCCTGATCCGATTTAGCTTTCACATCCTGTGCCAGCTGGCTATATTCACTCGTTGTAGTCAATACAATTCTGCTTTCTGTTTCTAAAAATAAATCTTCTTTATTATTTTATCATAATTATCATGATGGACTTTTTTTGGAAACCTTTACATGGTTAACATATGTGGCTTGTTAGTGATGTGACAGATTCAGGTTTCATTGTATCATACATAGTTGTATACTCTACTTAAACAATTCCATTTTATCAAAACAATAACAGTTACATATCAGGGGCAGTGAGTTCATTTATTACAGAGCTGTCTCTCTAGAATGCTAAAATACTAAAAAAAAAAAAAACGGAGAGAATTTTTATCTGGATATATCACTACTTTATTTTGCTATATAATTTGATATTTACATTTTTATTTACAAGATGCCCTTAAAATCAGCTTGTATAAAAATGATAATTCAACAATACATTCAAATCAGAAAAAAATAAACAGAAAGAAAATGTTTTCATTTTGAATTCTAACAGGCCTTATGGGACATAATACACTATGGGAAAAACTAACATTGAAACATATGATAGACAGTTATAGGATCAGAGTGTGAGAGACTATAAATTATATATTGTGTACCCAAACCCTCCAGATATCTGTCTTAATTGAGACGTCCTGTGGTATCCCTATGGAGAGCCCCAGGTGCAGGCCCCTATGGGTATATCCTGTATGTACATGAAGTCAGGACTTAGATGGGTGGGGATTTATCATCCTCTGTTGATGGCTGACATAAATGGTGACATGAGATTGACAAACTCCTTTGAAAGCTGAGAATTATAACTACATTATCTGTAGCTTTGTTAGACAACAACCCACTAGGGTAGTTATATTAAGCAATGTATTGGCCAATTACCTTCGTAAATTTTAAGAGGAAAATTCAAAATATGTATAATTTTTATTCAGTGCTGTATCGACCAATTACCTTTGTAAATTCAACATGAAAATTCAAAATATAGATACTTTTTATTCAAGCACTGTATGCACTAATTATCTTTGTTAACTCCAAGATCTAAATTCAAAATATGTATAATTTTTATTCCAGTGCTGTATCAACCAATTACCTTTGTAAATTTAAGATGAAAATTTTAAATAACTTTTTATTCAAGCAATGTATGCACTAATTACATTTGTAAACTCCAAGATCAAAATTCAAAATATGTATATCTTTTATTCAAGCAATATTTCCACAAATAAATCTTTGTTATTTGAAGACGAAAATTAAAAATAATCATCTTTTTTTATTCAAGCAATGTACAAGCTAATTATAATTCTAATTTCTCAAATAAAATTACATAAATATTTCTTTTATTCAAGTAGGCTGTATTCAAACTGACAATTATATATATATATATATATATATATATATGTAAAAGTAACAAAAATTATAAATCACAGAATGACATTGTCTATCTTTATATTTTACTGATTTACCTGATATCAATAAGAATTTTTAAAAACCTACTGCAAGTAATTTTATTTTTATGATAATATCATGAAAATCAGACAAGGAAATGAGTTTTGTCAGAAGTAGTGTTTTTGTATAATACCATCAAATTAATGAATATTTTACAATATGACAGGAAATCTAATTTGAATTCAAATTAAAACACCTGTCAATGTCACATTTAACATACCCTCAAATTTGACATTTGAAATTAAACTTTAAAAAGTGTTTCTTCTGCATGTTTTGCAAACACATTTGTTCAACCTATTGTGAAGATGTGTGCCCTTTCTCGGAAAGCAATGGAGAACAAGATGAAGTCATTTGTCAGAGTTTTAGCAAACAGTGTGACAGGAAATGATACATTTGTTGTATATCATTTAGAAGAACACCAGGATACAGATGTTGACACAGGAGATTGGCCTCTGTATTCTGGGAACTTCCAATTAGGGGATATTTACACAAGTGTTTTGTCAAACAAACAGCATTTTCAATATTAAAAACAGGGTACATAGGCCTGAAAAATCATTACAACTGAACAATTCAGGCAAATTACAATGTGTATTCTATATGTTCAATGCAAAGTCTGGTAATATTCGATTTTTGTTTTCACAAAATATCACAATTTCCTGCTATGTAGCCTATTACGGAGGCTTTATTATGACTGAGATATGTCATAAAATGTCTTATTTTCAAGCAAATATAAAACTTGTACTGAAATCTAATTACTTAGTGAATTATCGTTCGACCAATCCTACAAATCAGAGTAAAATACTAGTATAAAAACTGACCAATCAATCACCTGAAACCTAAATAAAGGCCAGACCCATCAAAGATAAGCATTCATACCAAAATTATGAAAGACTTAAAAATACATTTAAAATTACCATGTCATTTGTTGTGTAATTCTCTTACTGAATGAAAATGTGAATTTCCCTATTTCCTTATTAAGAAAACCTCCTATGTGGATAAGTAAAGCTAAATAAATTTCAATACATTAGTTTATTTACAACATATCACAAAACAGAAATATTGGGATATAAAACATGCCAACCACCATGGATTCATGTCAATGAAGTAAAAAAAATCATATATCCTCACATCAAAATTCTTGAAATCTTAAGATAAACAAGAATGTTAATTGAAATAAATCCCTGGCTTGACAAATAGCAGTTTATTGTGATTTCTTTCTCTACCATATTTTAAATTAATTGGCAATTAGCAAGTTTGTTTTCATTTGTTGACTTAAATCACCGTTTCTAATTTTCTTGCTAGAAAACAATGTTCTCATTTATATAAACAATATTCCTAATTCAGATTATTTTAAAATTTTAGTATGGGTGTATATTTGTATATTCTTATATACAGTTAACCAGAAAAGGCTAGTTCCTCGTTCTATTTCCTTATCTATACGAGAGGCATACATCTATATATAAGCATATCAACTCTCTTACACCAGATCCCACATGATAATCATTGGCTATCTACCTATCGCTAAGATCTATCTCGTATCGTACAACAGAATGTTGTATGTCTGTTTTATTTTCCCTTGTCTGTCAAGAATGATGAATTAGTTTGTTTCCTAATGTTACGGTCCTACATTGTGTGTGACCTCGGCTGTGACGTCACGCATGGATGACCCCAATAATGAAATGGCTACGAAAGGAAAAGTCACGGGCGAGCGAACTCGACTAACGGAACACCCGATCGCTACCCTCTCTGTATACAATCATAGTCGACAAAAATAACGGTAAAATGGAACAAAAAATGTTAGTGGGGAAATCGGGAGACTAAATCGAGGCAGCTAGAACATGCTAAGCTAGATATCAGGGCTGTCGAACTACGTGGTTTAACAGGGTATCGGTGGGAATGCATGCATACACCGACCATCTGGTCAAATTACACAGCTTAGCTCGAAAACCCTACCCCATGTACCATACAAATACCACGTTTTCTTGTAAATAACATCACCTAGTAACCCCAAAAGCCCTGACGAGACCCAGCACATGTTAAATATTGACTATAATTCGTACTTACATCTTTAGTTAGTTCCTCGAGCTGTACGGGTGTTTTGTTTGGTCCGAGCCGAGCGGGCACGTCGGTTTCGGGTGCAGCCATGTTTTCCTGTGGTGTCTTCTGTGCATCGCTCAATTGGCGACCCCTAGCGGCAGGGTAAGGGGAATACCCAATGTACCTAACGGATGGGGATTTCTCAAATGATAAAAAATAAATTTACCTCGGGTAAAGCGTCAATTAAATTTGAATACTCCAGGTAAAGGTGGCCGTTAATGGTTGACAGTGATAAGTCTATTGTCAATAGATAAGACGTCAAGGTAGATATACATAAGGTTGACAAGTATACACACAGGTATTCTCCACAGGTAGGTGTATTTGTTCGAGTGGAGAGTATTTCGAAAATGAAAGTAGGGTAATATTTATAAACACAATAATCACACGTTGCGTAGGATCTATTTACGGGATATTCGATCGTGTTATTCTGACCGCACTTTTCTCACGTGCGAATTAATTTGCGCGTGACATTTTGTACCATATTCGATAAATTTATCAATATAAAAATAAGAAAATACGGGATAAAAAAGCTAAATCTTTATATAATACTGGATAAACTATTATTTATAAAGACATTATCGATTATAACACGGTATTAAATATATCATGAAACTGTAAATTGACGTTAGAATTGACGTGTAAATTGGAATGTATTTATATTGTTCTATTTGCTAAATATAAAATATACTTTAATTTAACGTGAAGGTGAATATGCCTGAATCAAAACAATTAATTATTTATTTATTTTTACCGTTGTTTATCTATGTCGTTCTCTATTATTGTTCATTTGGTATTACTATTTTTATCATTTTTGTTAAACATCATGCATCATACAAATCATGCGTTTAGTTGCATTTAAAAAAAATAATAATAATGATAAATAATAATAATAATTGAAAACATCATCATTAATAAACAATTAATATAACCACATTTATATAATGTACTGTTATTATGAACAAAAGTGAAAGAAGAAAACATTGAATTTATTATATAAATGCGTCTCACAGTTAATTCCATCATACACCACGAAACTCCTATCTCTTAAACGTCACACATACGTGCGCTCACACACGCACATGCACGCGTGCGCACACATACCTCGATTCCATGTTAATTTAAGGTATGTGACATCATCCTAGTATTTAAAAAGTGATTTTTTTTCTCCATTGATTTCTATTTCCTGTTTAAAAGGAATGTCGTTTACAAAGTCACGTTTTTATCATAAATAAACACAGAAAAATTAATAGCAAAATCATAAGATAGTAAAATTAGATTCTGAACACGTGTGTGTTGATACTTGCTGTTATTGCCTATTTTTCTGTCGGTTTCTATATTCTCTAGATTTCTATTAATTTAACTGAATGCTACTCCGTCTCGTAGGCAGTTAGTGGAGGGGGAGTATAGACTTCCCCCAATTTTATCTCCATTTCTTTTGTACATGAACATTTAAAAATGAGTTGAGAAGAATAAAAAAAAAAGATGAAATAATAAGAGACGTTCATATACATTCATATCAAAACTAACATTTCAATGTGGCTCATGGTATAGTATTTTATTCCAGATGTTATATGGCGGTATTCACCCTTCCCTAGCCCCACCCGACTCGATCAAATCCGACACACAGACAAAAACCAACACGGTGCTGGCATAATATGTCAGGGATGTTAGGTTCTGGAATTTTAGCTTTGGGCCGAGAGCCATTGATTTTGCCTGGTATGTGTACCAGCGTACACGCGCTTCCCACCCAGGCTTTCTGACACGTCAGTGTCCGTCCACGCGCTCACGAGCTGTGTACCGGAGTACCACACCGTGTACGAGCTATCGATTGCTGTAGCCATCCAGCTTCAGCAGCCGTCGTTAATGATCACTCTTGGGGATGCGGACTTTAGTAGAGATGAGGATAGGGGTGGGGGTAGGGTGAGGAGATCCTATCACATCTAATGACAACTATTGATCCTATCCAAGAGGTTTTCTTGTACTCGATGACATTCACTTACTCGCCTGGAATTAGCCCGCTATTTTATCGCACATTTTTGTGTACTGGTTTCCTTAGAAAGTGATTCTATTTTTCCTGCAGTGGTATTTCTGGGTACTGATTCAACCAATATCCTACCGATTTTCTGAAACGCCGATCTGTGGGAAATTGCCTCACAGGACATATTCATTGTTCACTTGTACATATTGGAACCCCGGTCTCACTATTCGATATCTCAAGCTTGATTAGTGAAGCCGATCTCACTCTTCTCTCAAAAGTATATCATTTTTGAACGGAATCCTCATCTCACCATTTTCTTATATGTTATGCTTGAACCTCAATCTCTATATTCTGTCATACATAGTATTTGAACCTTAACAACACTATTCTCTCACACTTAATAACCCCCCCCCCCCACTTTTATCTCACTATACTGAATTTGAAGCCCCCGACCCTCACTTTTCTCTCATACTTAACCCCCCCCCTTTTCTCTCACTATACTGAATTTGAAGCCCCCGACCCTCACTTTTCTCTCATACTTAACCCCAACTCCCCCCTTTTTTCTCTCACTATACTGAATTTGAAGCCCCCGACCCTCACTTTTCTCTCATACTTAACCCCAACTCCCCCCTTTTTTTCTCTCACTATACTGAATTTGAATTCCCCGACCCTCACTTTTCTCTCATACTTAATTCCCCCGTCACTTTTCTCTCCAGGAATTTACTCGAGTCGCTATTTCTCCTTCAGGACAATCCGGTTCTTTCTCTGTACAGTAGCTTGCTATTGTATCTTACTCCAATATAGACAGATCACCTCCTCGTAGACCCTCTCCCGCATTCTTTCATACAAAAAGAATTTTTTATCCTTCGCTTGGTTTTTTTAAATTTCATTTTGTACATAAGGGGAAATAACTCGTGTTAGATTGTCACAGTTTGATCCATTGAAATCCGCGATATTTATCATTGGTATGTATATATTTTTAAAGGACAAACAACAAGTGATGATTAAAACAAAACAAAACAAAACGCACAAACAGACAAACAATGAAAACCTGCCAAGATGAAGTTCAGTCCTGTACATATCTACCTCATCATACAGTTAAAAAAAAACTGTTTTAAACTTAATGGTATCTATAAAATAATACTTCACACGCGTCTGTTCCCATAGGTTGACAGTCTAGGTTCAGTTCATTATACTCAGTAAACCATTTGGTTTATCCGTAGTGCCTATCTACCGTGTAAACAAAACAACATAAACTACACATCTATTTACATCGTACCCGCAGCAGAGTGTATAGTCATCTCAAACTGTGCAAGTCTGTTCAATAACATTACTCATAATAAGGAAATGGTGTATACATATCTCAGATTTCTACATATATCCCAGTTATCTAAACTTCTCACACTTTGTTTATCAGCGTCTCATAACGACATTTATCTAAAATTCTCACACTACGTTTATTGGTGTCTCATAATCACATTTATCTAAAACTCTCACACCACGTTTATCAGTGTTTCATACTCATATATATATAAAACTCTCACACTACGTTTATCAGTGTCTCATAATCACATTTATCTAAAACTCTCACACTACGTTTATCAGTGTTTCATACTCATATCTGTCTAAAACTCTCACACTACGTTTATCGGTGTCTCATAACCACATTTATCTAAAACTCTCACACTACGTTTATCAGTGTCTCATAATCACATTTATCTAAAACTCTCACACTACGTTTATCAGTGTCTCATACTCACATTTATCTAAAACTCTCACACCACGTTTATCAGCGTCTCATAACCACATTTATCTAAAACTCTCACACTACGTTTATCAGTGTCTCATACTCACATTTATCTAAAACTCTCACACCACGTTTATCAGCGTCTCATAACCACATTTATCTAAAACTCTCACACTACGTTTATCAGTGTCTCAAAATCACATCTATCTAAAACTCTCACACTACGTTTATCAGTGTCTCATAATCACATCTATCTAAAACTCTCACACTACGTTTATCGGTGTCTCATACTCATATTTATCTAAAACTCTCACACTACGTTATCAGCGTCTCATAACCACATTTATCTTAAACTCTCACACCACGTTTATCAGTGTCTCATAATCACATTTATCAAAAACTCTCACAATACGTTTATCAGCGTCTCACAACCATTTATCTAAACTTCTCACACTTGTTTATCAGCGTCTCATATATCACATTCATCCAAAACTCTTACAGAATGGTTACCAGCGACTCTGATATGTGAATGAAATGTATTCAATATTTAAATTACATTTATCTAAGACTTTCACAACCCATAAATCGGATTTTTTAAACAAAAAATGCATATTCTTCATCCATTATATTGATTGCTCTCAAAATACTTTTTCCAAGTCGCTTGCTTTATACTTCCAAGACTCTCAATTACGTTTATCAGACTAACTCTTCTGTACACAAGACTCTTACATAACGTTTATCACACTGAATTAATGTTTACAAGACTCTCACATTACGTTTATCACACTAAATTAATGTTAACAAGACTCACATTACGTTTATCAGACTAACACTAATGTATACAGGACTCTCACGTTACGTTTATCAGACTAACACTTCTGTACATAAGACTCTCACATTACGTTTATCACACAAACTCTTCTGTACACAAGACTCTCACATTACGTTTATCAGACTAACACTAATGTATACATGACTCTCACATCATGTTCATCAGACTAACACTAATATATACAAGACTCTCACATTACGTTTATCAGACTAAAATAATGTATACAAGACTCTCACATTACGTTCATCAGACTAACACCAATGTATACAAGACTCTCACATTACGTTTATCACACTAACACTTCTGTATACAAGACTCCCACGTTACGTTTATCAGACTAACACTAATGTATACAAGACTCTCACATTACGTTTATCAGACTAACACTTCTGTACATAAGACTCTCACATTACGTTTATCACACAAACTCTTCTGTACACAAGACTCTCACATTACGTTTATCAGACTAACACTAATGTATACAAGACTCT